TTTTTTATTCATCATTTGCTTTGTTCCTGTGGATTCGAAAGCATCTACGTTTTTCCTTTGCTTGAAGAGAGTGAGAATTTCACTCTATCAATCCCTCAGTTTAGGCATCAAAGTCTGAMGTTGTGTTGTTAAAAAGAAGTTTAGAAAAGGGAATTTGAAATTCACATTGACTAGAGAGAGGAATGTCTAATCCCTTCCCTCCCTTTCTCTCTCTCTCAACTTACCCAGACTAGCCTTGTCTAGGCCGAGGAGTGTGGAGTCTCTAACATCCAATTAATTTTAAAAATTGCAACTATAGGAGGCCCATCACTCCCCTTTATGGCTTTATCTRTTCTGATGGGTGACGACACCATCTGCTCATCCATGAAATGAACAACTGGTTTTTTTGACGTTCATAACATAGAATCAAGGCCTTTGATGTATTTATTACAATGGCCCCACCAAGACATTACTTTATTCTAATTCAAGGTTCAAAGTGGGTCATAACAACACATAAAAGGCCTTGAATTGTTTGTTTCAACGTAGTACTAMGACAGTGTCATAGCAAATGTGGTTTGAATATTTAAAGCGTCTTATTTAATGTTTCAGGTGGATGAGGATAGTTTGGACACTTAAAAGATTGGTTCACCCACTGGATTGAAATTGATGAGCCTAATAGAAGTGACGTGGTTTCAGTGTTTACGAAGTGTTTAATGGTGATGTGGCTAATTGGGAGAGCATGCTTTAAACTAATTTTTGAGAAGACTTCTTTCAACATCTTTGCTATGATAAATAGGATTGAGGCACAGATTTTTGACCTATGTGGATCTATTCTRTGGGAGGATAACCACTAACCAGAGAGTAGATGTGGGTGTTGTTCCTTCTTCCTCTAACATACATTGGCAAAGCCCACCTGTACACTRTATTAAATTTAATTTTGATGGTGCTACATCAAATACTAAAGCAGGGGCTGGCTTGGTTGCAAGGGATCACATGGTTCATTGATCACTGCTCGTTCCATGGCTTTTCCAGTTTTCTCTCTAGTGGAGATTGAAGTGCTAGCTTTAAAGGAAAGTCTGGAACTAGCCCTGGATCTCCATTTTCACAATGTTATATATATATATATATATCTTTGAGGGATTGTCTTACTATGACCTCCCTATTGGTCTCAAAGGATACTCCTTGGTGTATAAAACATCACGTTTCTGATTGCAAGGTTTTGTTAAATAGAATTCCCCATAATTTAATGCAGTTCATCAAAAGATTTAAGAACCTTGTGGCACACTTACTGGCTAGAAAAGCGCTAACTCTTTGTCCATCTATACCTGGTGCTCTGTTCCAAATTTTCTACGTCAGGCATTCCTAAATGATTGTACAATGAACAATTCCAGTTATATCTCATGCTAATTGTGTTGTCAAAAAAAAAAAAAAAAAAAGGAGTTCAGATCTGTGCCCCACAAAGGGCACCCCACAATGCCCCACAGCACATTTTTGCAGTGTATTAAAAACATCAACCAATGATAGTATCAGAACCGATGATATCATCATCAAGATATATCCTGGATACACGACGAAAATATACTGTAGGATGTTGTGGCACCCCCTTGTGGGGCACAGATGTGAGCTGAAAAAAAAAAAAAAAAAAATCGGTAAGACATCCCTTACCTTCGGTGAAAATAATGATGTCTTCATCGCCTGTTAATATATATTCATGATCTTTAATAAAATCTATAGTGGCCAACCTAAACGGAGAATAAAGTTGGGGATAAAAAAAATATTTTGTATGATAATATTTTGAG